TTCTGTGACATGCGTGCTAAAACATATTGTTTAAAATTAAACTGAATGGATGCATTGTCAACAAATAGATCGTAAAACTGCTTTTCTACGAAATTAATTCTAATCTAAATCTCCGTTAGTACTGAGAACGGGGCAATTTCGTATTTCATGTCGTATTAATAAGGCAATGTATATAAACATCCTTACTGCGTCATTATAAACTATTTCGAACGCTCTCGAGTTGATAGTAAACATGTTTTGCAGTATTTTCTACTGGCGAGTTAGAAACGCGAGCCTTAAAAAAACTGACACGAAATGTAAAAATTATTTCACGCGAACATCAACTTCATGAAGCATTCATATTTATTTAAAGCGTCTTTTTGAATTAACATCTTGCACAATGTACGACTATTTTTGTGTTTGCGTTACGCCTTACGGTTTTGCGAAAACTGCTCTCTGTCCGAATAACAGTTCGCGAAATGTTTGCCAATATCGAGAACATTGGGAGGAGAATGATGGAGGAGGGATGAGGCAGACTGGCAGCGGGAATCGATTGGCAGCCAAGATCGTAAGTGTGCGGCGTCAAATCGTCGGAATTCGTGACGTTTCGACGAGAGGCCCACGGAAATACGAACTCGTAAGCGAGAATGATGACGTGATAGCGTAGACGAGATCGCACGTAAACCAGTTAAAAGGAATCCATTTTTCCACGAGGTATGTGCGCCGGAGCACATGCTCAGTGATGGGTTTAAGCCGTCTCGAATTGTCTGATACGTGACGTTAAATACAAACGTTAGTATCTCGGATTATTAATCTTTTCAGATATTCTGTTCTTTAAACATGAAAAGCGTAAATGCTTTCGTGGAATTTCAAAAGAAGATAAATCACATATTTCGGAGTATAATTTCTTTAATGGATAGGACTTTATATCTTTAGTTAAGGATTACATTAAATTTATAAACAGTACAAGTTGCATTTTTATATATTTATATATTTTCATATAGATACACGGCATTCGCAGTTTATATGTTTTCTCTAAAAATATTCCAAGTTGATTTTACAAGATTGTGAAACGACTTCTCTTCTGCAAAATTTCGGAAGGTTATTTTCTATGTAAATTAATTTCTGTACCTTTACATAAGTAACATTTCAAAAAATTCATGCACGAATATATTATTTGGAATAATTATACTTTCGATTAAAAGACACGCTGGTTAGAGATTTCGCAAAACCCTAGGTATATTTGAATATAAATATTTCAAAAACTTTGTTCTTGTAATATTTTAACAATTGATTGGATAAAAAAAATGATTTCCTCAACTACCATTTCTTCTTTAGTGGAAAAATTGATTTCCTGCTTTTCCTACATTTTTCGGATGATAGTATCCGGATTCATATTTTGACCCCGTCTTTAAACAATTGTACTCGTATGCCGTTACATTCAGAACAAAATCATCATGTGATTGCAACAAACGTTCTTTCCACGGCGTAATTTCCCTCGTTGTGCCATTGTATAACATCCAAGAATTTATTGCAGCTATGTCTAAAGAGTATTATGAAATATTTATAATAGCTGCCTTAGGATTCCAGCTCTTCCATTATATGTACGTTTAGTCGTTTAGTCAGTAATATCTATGCTGTATTCAGTATTATTACTGGCTTGTGGATCTTCATGTCAATAACTTTAATAAGTTGAAAATGATGTATTAGAGTTTTGGAATTCTCTGAATGTTTTTGCGGTTAATGTTTTACATACGTATCAAAAAACCGCAGTCTAAATATTACGAAAGTACAAATGTCTCAAATAGGAATTTTTTTCAATTCCAACCTATTTTTGCTTCGAACTGAACAATCATAATTCTTGGTTTGATTTACTCATGAAAATGTTGGCAGTGCAATTTTTTTGTCATACTTCGTATATTTTGGTAATTCGCTAAAGTAGTTTTTTAAAGTTTAATTTTTATTTATTTATGTTATTTTAAACAATCAAACAAATACGAACTACAAGCCTATTTTTATAATGTGTATACACTGATCCACGAATGTATTTGTGCTGTTACCAAAAAGTATGTATGCTATACAAAACATTTGGAAATTTTATTTGGACTGTAGGTAAATTTCGAAAATAGCGCCAATAATATTTTTTAAACGTTTCATGTGATACAAGTATTGTATTGTATATCTAGAATAACTGTTCAAATATATTCATGAGTTGCTACATTTTGTTTAAAATTAAATTAAAACCGTTTATCTACATGTTACACAAAATTAACAATTTCTTTACTTGAATAAACGTTGTAAAAATATTTTTTAATAGACGATTATTATAAATTTCGATGTGCTGAACATGAATTCGAAAATCGTTTTTCTCTATCATCCTCAGTTTTTTTTTTACCAAATTTAATTTTGATAAATAGTCAAACTTTC